AAAAGCAACTTAAAAATTAACTATCTTTTAAAGAGAATTAAATTATTTAATCAAATAATATAATTAATCATTAAATATCTCTATTTTGATATAGTTAATTTTTATTAATAATATTTAGTGTTATCTAATGTATCTAAAATTATAGTTAATTTGAAATGCATGTAGATATAGATAAAGTTAATGAATTTAATGGAGTAATGGAGATGAGAGAATTAATGGCATTAGTTATTGAAGAAGATAGTCAATGGCATAATCAATAATAAAAGATAATTAAAGGACTTAATGAGAAGATGAGAGAGAATTAATGATGAGTTATGAGGAAAAATAAAAGTCTTAAAGGCGATTGGCCACATGAGTTATTTTGTTCAATTTTAAAAATAGAAAATTAAGAAAAAACAAAAAAAAAAAGATAAGCGTCTTTCAAAAACAACCCGAAAGTAGCCAACTTGGCCCATTCATTTTTAATATATATATATAGATAGATATAGATTTAATTCCCATCACCATGTTACTTTCACTTTAATTACATTTCCATCCTACATAATCACCTAATTTTTTTTGTATATATGTTACTTTCAATAACCTACTCTTTAATTCCCCATATTCTCTCTTTAACTAACATTTTCTCAAATATAAGTTGTTTTAATACAAGACCAAAGATCAAAGCATCACTCATTGTTCTCCCCCATTGTCTAGCTTTCTTTTTACAACACAATTTGGATCAAGAATGTGGTTGACCACCCTTGAAGACCAACATTTAACAATTTGCTTGTTGATGTCCTCTGATTACATTTCACTTTCATATTCAATCAAATGGAACTAAACCAACTTATCACTCAATCCCACACTGTTGTTCTATCCTTTCTCGACAAATTCAAATTAGTTTGACCCATCTGCAAAAGTATATCCAACATCGCCATCACTATACCTAACTCTCAACCTATTCTTGCCATCAAATGCTCATTCACCACGGGACTAGAATTGCAGCTATAGATTTTGACTCACCATTGCAACACCGAATCACTAATATGAAGGCAACAAATTGGGGTGGGAATATCTCCCCTAGCTTATCTTTTATGTGGTCTATTGGCCAAGATAATAGACCAACCAATTAAGTGTTCGATTTAATTTCCTTGATCTGTTCTATTTTATTTTGTAATTTTTTTTGTGTTTTGTTAATTGGATAATTTATTATTCAACTCCTACTATTCTTTTAATTTACTAACTTAATTCTCAATCATTCTCAGTATATGTTGTTACTAATCTCATTTTTTCTGGTTATGGCTTGGGCTGGTCCATGAGGAAAAACTAAAAGCATCTTAAGACTTTGTTATCCTCCATTGCTATAAGTAAAAGAAAGATATGTATATCTAGGAAGCAAGGCATATGGTCATGCTTGGCCTTAAATAGATTTGTTCAATTCCCAATATTTTCTAATATAATTTCTCTCTCTCTCTCTCTCTCACACACACACACACATACACAACTCCTAAAGAATAATAATTGTTTTATCTTCTTTTTATAACAACAAATTTAAGCCTTCTATGGTGGTATTTTGCACTTTATACTTTTAATAATATCAAAGTATGCATTGTTTGGTGGTTCTTTGTACTTTTTACTTTTAAGAGTACCCAAGTACAAAGTACATAAAATACTTCTTTTACTTTGAAAACTTTTTAGAATTTTTTTCAAAATAAAAGTAAATAATGACATTTTGCAACAAAATGTTTTATACATGTGCATGCTATGTGACATTTGAATGCATATCAATAACATGTAGATGTCATGTGACAACGTATATGGATGTTACATGGCATCTAAATATGGGGTCAATGATATGTGGATGCCACATGGCAACATATATGGATGCCATGTGGCATTTAGGTCCCGTTTGTTTATCAATAAATAAGAGAGGGGAAGTTGGTCAATAGGAAAGAGATTTTCCATTGACCAACTTTATAGTATTCTTTTTGCATTAAGTGCTAAGCCTCACTGTAAAGAGAGCTTCATTTATCTAAGTAAAACTTACCCATTTCCTAGGTGGGTAGGTAATTTTTCCACCTAGGAGAAAAGTTTATAAAACATGATGGGACAAGTTTGTCATTTTTAACATTATCTTTTTATAGGTAAAAAATTCATTATATTATTTACTTAGGAATCAAAATAACATGGGTTAGTGACCTTACCCAGGTAAGTGTTATCCAAGAAGTATTTACTTGGGTAAGTGCATGTACCTAGGTAAGTTGAAAATTTGTAAACGAACAGGGCCTTAAAGGTAAGTTAATGATAGTACATGCCATACGGCAACATAAACGAATGACATGTGTCATATACTTGTCATTAATTATGTTAAGATGCCATGTGACATCTTTATATGTCATGTGATAGTATATATGAATATCATGTGGCATTTGAGTGTTGGGTCAATGACATATGGATGTCACATGACATCCGAATGTAAATCAATAATACATGGATGCCATGTGACATCCATATATGATGTCACATGGAACACACATGTCACTGAATACATTAATGTGTTTATGCTTACATGTGACATTTATATATGTTAGTACATGTTAGGGTGTATAAATATCACATGTGTGGTTAGTGTACACATTTTGTAAAGTATAAAGTATGTTAAAGGGCCAAAAAATCATGGAGTATTAAAAATTGGCTTTCGTGCTTTTCATGTTTTTTATTTTATACTTTTACTTCGTGTGTTTTTAAAAAAAATAAAAAACATGTCAAACAAACTCATTCATATACTTCTCATACTTCCACGCTTTCAAAAGTATAAAAAATACTTCAAAAATAAAAGTACAACAAAAAAGGGCCAAATTTATGTGTATTCTTTTTACTTTATTTTATTTTTGGTCAAGCACTAAAGAACAATGGATACTCATGTTGCTTCTAAAATATGGAATTATAGACAAAAAATTTGTTAGAACTAAATTTGCTTTATAAAGCCATGGGTTCTAGCATGGAACAAATTAAAAGAACAACCATCTTATTTTTTGTGACAACCAATGCCCCTTTATATTTTGTTGCCATTTTCCTGACCCTGGTAGGTTTACGATTATTAAATTATGATTATTATAAAAGTATTAATAAAGTTTAGACTTTTTATTTGTAAGCCTAAGGTCAAGTACATATTCTTTGTTCCCTTGATTTTTTGACTTTTAAGCATTCTAATGTTACTAACAGAAAACACCATTGATTTATAAATCATAAACAATGTTTAAATATAAAATTTTGTTAAATTTTGGCACATTATTTTATTATAACTCCAATTGATATCCATTTTCTATCTTACCTCTAAGAAGTTGTAATAAGGGTTTTTGTGATTGGATTCTCTACAAGTAAAAATTCTGCAAACATTTTGCAAGTATGAGAATCCAACTGTACATTGGGAGCATCTCCCCATAAATTTAATATATATGCAGAAGAGATATTCTCAATGTGCGGCCAGTTGCTATGTGTACCAAGTTTTTACTTACAAAGAAATTTGGGCTTGGCTTTTGTTGCGACCAACATGCTTTACACTTACTATGGAGTATGGATACACACAATATTGGACAACTCAATGCCATGCATTTTCATTGTCTTAGAATTTTACTAACAATGTGTTCCATCTCTCTTACATAGATAGCAAGTGTAACATCAATGTTCTATCTCTTATGTCGCTCTTTTGAGTCATTTTCTATGCATTGCACGAGTTTATTGCTAATATCAATTATATAGACGATTCATCATATAATCCCATTTGTGAAAACAATTATATGATGGAGAATCTTATTTTTTTTAATAATTTTAAACGTTAGGACTAGTTATTTTAATAATTTGAGAACTTTTGATTTTGAAACTTGAAATGTAAATACTTTATAGTTGTTACTTGATTATGTCATTACTAATTACTTATAAAACTTTTGTTTCATAAATATTTGTACCTTCTATCAAAAAGAAGGGTCGCCCTTCCGATGGGAGTAACGTTTAAGGTTTAAGAAAAAGTTTTAATTAAATTTTTTGTTAATTTTTCAGGCTTATGCCTCAACTACTACTTTTAACCTTTGAAAACCTTACCTTTGATGGACTTGCAAATTTTACTCTATTGGGTTGGGCTCCATGCTGGATTGACTGCTGGATGGGCTGGTCCTTGCAATCTGGGTCAGGTAAGTGAGTTCAATTCACACCATTGATTGAATGGGCCCAGATAAAATCCCCTGCTTGGTCTTTCATTTGGCTCCCTTATGATTTTTATTTTTTAATAATTATTAATCAAATAGAGCTAGAGCCCACACCAATGTGGGGTCTACATCTATAATGGGTTTATCTAGGGATGTTAATGGGTTGGGTTAAATGGTAAATCCGGATTGACCCGATAGGGTCTGGTTAGGGTCAATATATTTGGCTTTAGGGTTGGGTTAGCGTTTTGATTATTCGACCCAAGTTGAGTTTGGGTTTTGATTGATCCACTCTTACCGGGTCATGATACCTTGTATACAAAGTATTCTTGTAACTTTTTTTTTTTTTTTTACTTCTAACTCTATAGCTTTAAAGTTTAAGATTTATTTATATGTTGATTTTGATTTTTTTAAATGAGAAAAGTGAAATTTTAGATTTTATAAAACAATTTTCTAACTTAAATTACTGGATTTTAGGTTTTCAAAATGTGTTAAAAAAATATAATTGAAATATTACAGTAGGTCAATTCACTATCGGGTTAGGCCCTATATGGTCAGGTCGAGTTGGTTTAAAAAATTATGTATTTTTAAGACGAGTCGGATTCGGGTTGAGGCAAATCCGACCCGTTGACATCCCTAGGTTTATCTCTTCTTCGTTTTTGGATAAGTAGAAGGGTATGGGTTTTATCTCTAAAACCGCAGACTGTAGCGTAGTAATATCACAATCAATTTCCCCCCTCCCCCGAACATTTACATAACAGAGAGAGATATTTTACGACAGAAATAGAACTAGTATTGCTTAGAGTTTAGAGGACACTTGTCTTTCGAGCGGAAATAGTTCTCACGGGTCACGAGCAAGCGCTAGTACTTATCCCTTTGAGAGCGTGAGTGTCTAATGTTTCAAAGGCCAAAGCATCCCCTATCAGAAAGCTCTCTCTAGGTTTAGGTTAGGGTTTCTGTGGTCTCAACTCTCAATCCCTTCTCTCTCGTCTGATCGTCTGATATTACATCTTACGATCTGTAGTTTTAGATACAGCTTATCCTACTTTTTTATCTTCGGGTTGTTTGTTTCAGCGTCCATTCTTATACTCTGCCTCTATCTCCTCCCTGTTTTGCCCAAGATTACATCTTTCCATCCGGTTATCACTCTATATACTCAGTTGAGATTTTGCTTGTCGTCGAAAGTTAGTTTGCGTTGGTTTTTTCGCAAGTTTGGATTTCTATTAGCAGTCAGTAGGTTAGGGTTCGAGTTCTTCTGGAATCGTCTCTGGATTAGGATTTTCGAAGATGATGCAACTTGCCACCGGAGTTGTTCCGCCACCGATGGCTCCTCCACCGATGGATCAACAACACCAGCAGCATCCACAGCAACAACCACTGCCACAACAGCAGTGGTTGATGATGCCTCCACAGCAGCCTCTTCAGCCTCAGCCTCCTCCGATGTGGAACCAGCAGGCACCTCAAGTCCCACAGCCGCAAGTGTCACCCCAACCACAACAACCGCAGCCGCAGCCTCAGTATCCGTCTGCACAGCCGGCGAGTGCGGATGAGATCCGCACACTTTGGATCGGGGACTTGCAGTACTGGATGGAGGAGAACTATCTCCACAGCTGTTTCGCTCACACGGGCGAGGTAAAGCTGTTTCCACTATACATCCATCTCTAATCCATCGTGTGCTTTCTTGGATTTTGTTTTTATATTTTAGTACGCTATAATTCCAAAAGTGTCTCTTCAAACTTTAAAAACATAAAAGCAGAATTTTGTTTTCGATTATTCAGATGTATCATGTGTCACGATCTCTTATATGGTTCTCAAACAATATTTTTTCTTTTACATAATACGTGGAATCTATGGAGAAAGAAAAAAAATAAGGAGGTAAAAAGTTTTAAGCAATTTATTGTTGTTAAGTTTATAGGCTCCTAACAAATTTATTGTGCGCATTAATCTCTATAATATGGTTTACTTTACACCATTTATTTCATCAGTATAAACAACAGTAACCAACAAAACCATGCCACCTATTGTGACTTTAGCCCGTATCTCCAGTCCCACACCACCAAAAAATGCTTTTATTCTTCAAAGACTGATTCAAGCTGTTTACTTCTATCCCTTGAGGATTATTAAATTTGAACATAGAGGTTATAGATTCAACAAGAAGGGGAGAACTCTTTTTCTCTGAACAAGTCAACTACATTGCGTTAGGAATCTGGCTGATGTTTTGGAACCTTTTATTATTTTCTGGGTGTCATTGATGACCTATTTCTTTCAACGTATATTGCAATATAATTTTACTATCAATGTTTATTATTGTTCAGTGTTTTAAAAGCACAAGGCACAAAAAAGGCGCAGGGGCCAATTTGCGCCCTAGGTGCAAGGCACAAGGTGAGGTGTGCCCCTTTTTGAAGCAAGGCCAATGTGTATTGGCCAAGTTGGTATCTTTTTTCTATCTATTAATTTCATTGGCAGAACATAAGAAGTACAAGGATCAATTTTTTTCCTGCTGAATACTTTACTGATGGAATCACTTCATTAAGGTTTGGTGATAGTTCTTGAAATTGCATGAGTTTCTACAAAATGCTTGCACACATTTGTATTTTCTTAGTGTAGTCCTTTGTATTCAAGTAGTTTGTGAAACCATACTCAAAACCAAGGTAGGGATGCAGCAGTCATGCTGGTCAGTAGTGTTAATTTGATTTTACATGTCTTCCATTTGTTTTATGATTATTTTCTTAATCTCGTTTTCTGGTATTGAGGACATTTCTTTTACTCTACAGGTTGCTTCTATAAAAGTGATCCACAATAAACAAACTGGTCAGTCAGAGGGCTATGGTTTTATTGAGTTTTTGACTCGTGCTATAGCAGAAAGAATCTTGCAGACATACAATGGCACATTGATGCCTAATGTTGAACAGAACTTTAGACTGAACTGGGCTACTTTTAGTTCCGGTGACAGGCGCCCGGATGATAGTCCTGACTTCCCAATATTTGTCGGGGATTTGGCTGTTGATGTCACAGACTACATGTTACAAGAGACATTCAGGAGTCATTATCCCTCTGTCAAGGGTGCAAAGGTTGTCACTGATAGAACAACTGGGCGCTCAAAGGGTTATGGATTTGTTAGGTTTGGGGATGAAAGTGAACAAATACGTGCCATGACTGAAATGAATGGAATGTTCTGTTCCACAAGGCCAATGCGTATTGGTCCTGCTACTACCAAGAAGAATGTGAGCGGTCAGCAATATCCAAAAGGTATGTTTGTTATCATGATGGGTTACTTTATAGTTTCTTCACAAAACTGTGATTTTAGTTTTAAGATACAAGAACATTCTAGGGGGACTGTTATTTTCTTTGAATTCAAATATTCTAAAACAAAAGTTGCTGTTTGTTTTGTTTGTTTTTTAATTTTTACATCAGCATTTTTTGGAGCATTGAATGTTTGCTTTGACATTTCTTGAGGCAGAATCTCGATTTGCTGTTGTTAAGTTTGCTTTTCCTTCAGTTATGAACTTGAAGATAAGCGGAAGTTTTCAAGTCATTTCCTTCCAGTTCTTTCCTTTGTAAAATTGGGCACGTTTAATGTAGTTGAAACTTGCAAAAACTTATAGAACTCATGTTGTCTCAAAGCAGGATGCGAGGCTCTCTCATATAGGGGCCTGGAACTGATTTCAGCTGAAATGATTCCCCTTTAGAGCGTGGCCTTGTCTAGGTCAGTTTTTCTGTTTATGTCATACATTGTCCTTAATTTCACATTTCCGTGGCATTTTGCTACATTTTCGATTTACTTTTCCAGTTCCTTATATTTGAAAAGTTGTGTGTCACTTTACATTTCGTTCACTGTTCCAAAATTTTAATTTTTTTTTGTCTGTTCTTTTGGTTTTTTTACATCAGTCAGAATTGGTTAGATTTTTGTGAATCAATTCCTTTACGCCATTTTTATTATAGCTGTTGAATGTTACTATTTTGTTTGTTGTCCTTTGTTCATTTCTCATTCATGTTTCCAGTTTTTTCATTCCATTGAGGACAGAATAAGGTTTTCCTAAGAGTTTAGATACCATTTGTTTGGTGCTTGTAACTCCAGATGCCTAAATCTGCAATTAGGTGGCACACTTTTAGTGATTTTAATGTGGCCATGTGGTTACCTTTTGCCCCTTCCTAGACTAGGCCTTCTTGTGGCATCTATAAACTTGATCCTTTTACCCCAACTTTGTCTCCTTGCTTGTTTTCTCATTTTTGGCCTTACAAGGATGGTTTGGGTTAGAAGGGTTTGCCACATGATTTATTTTATAATTATATCCTTTTTAACTTTTCCTGTTCATTGAGGCATATTACAAAAGCTTTAACAGCATTTGTGTGTTTGTTAAAAGTCATATTTCAGCTTAAATTCCCAGCATGAAGAATGGTGCACATTTGCATGTAGGTTTTCTGCTTCCTACTCATTTACGGTTTTCTAAGTGTGCATGTGCTTTGCATGTGTCAATTCTAGACGATGATAATGATATTAATAATGTATCAAAAAAATTCTATAAATATGTATTTTTTATTTTTTATTTTTATTTATTTATTTTTGTTTTTTTATTATTAATTGAATGCAGATTGCTAAATCCAAATCTGATAACATAAACACCTCACCTAAATATGTAATAATTGGATCGGTTTGTAAAGTTTCAAGTATCATTGACAGGCCTACTTGCATGGCTAAGTTCTTTTTAGTAATGTTTTATCTTTTTGGTGTATCTTTTTTTGTTCATTTATCAAAAATTTAAGATTTAAATGAAGGGAATTAAATGAGGTGAATAGTAATTCAATTTACAATTTGAACTTCACAATTAAATAGGGCCAAAATTAAAATTTGAGTATTTTAGTCGAAAGAAAGGTCCACAATCTTGTTAATATTTTTAATAATAGTGTAAATATAGAATTATATATGCGTTCAAATTCCCTATATTTTTTTTTGTATTTTTGTGTGTAAAAATAATTCTGATATGTCACACTTACTTTTTGTTTACTATGATAATTATATAATATTAAACGTATGCCTGAATGTTTTTTTTTGCAAAATTTGTATTTTTTATTTTTGTAATTTTATATTTTATTAATTTTTATTATTTATTTATGACATTAAATGTTAACACATTTGATTCAAAACTTGAACTATTGATCTTTGCCAAACAGTAAAATAATTTCATTTTTTGTCAGATTTATAAAAAAAATCATTTTTGGTCAGTTCTAAATTATGTATTTCATTTTCATTATCAATAAAAATAATTATTGTTTATTACACTTATTTTATTAATTTGATTAATAAAAGTATTGTAAATGTGTAATTTTTTTTTTTACATTTTTAATTATCTATATTTATTTGTATTTTAAAAATTTTATTGCTTAACTATGACTTCATAGGTTGATCAATTTGATTAAGATGGTTGAATTGCCTAGCCACTAATTGGATAAAGAATAGTTTTTTTTTTGAGTCGGTTTTAAAACATATGGGTTTATATATTGTTAAAAATATTGGCATATATCTAATAAGTAGCATTTAGTAGTGAAAAATAACTTCAATGTAAGATTTAATAAGAGAAAATGGGAGTTAATACCTTAAGTATAAAACTTAATGAGTGGATTAAATGAGTTGAAAAATAATTAAAATTACATTTTTAACCCTTACAATTAGAGATGTACTAAATACACAAATATGGGTATCTTAGTAGTCATTGAAGTTGTAATAAAATGACTTTTATACCCTTTCTCAAATAAAAAATAGAGGGTAATTTTAGGCCAAAAATACTTCTTTTTTGCATTTGCACTTTCATATATAGTATAGATGTGTGGTATGTTTTTTGTTTTCCATTCACTTAATCGTTTGTTGTTATCCTCAGTTTGGAAATGGTAGTATGATATATTCGGGTACTAATGAGTCTAGGCAGATGCCTTATAGCTTAAGAGAATGCTTAATTTTTTGTTTAGACAGGCACTTTTATTTTTGTTGCCTAGGCTGGGAGAATTCTTTACCTTTCTTCTTTCTTTTTTTCTCTTGGATCTAGTATCTTTCTTCTTTAAAAGCATAAATAATATACAAAATATGAAGGGTGTATTAACACAAATAGCAACGGTATGTAGCTGTAATAATGATACTACAATGATATGCCTAACCTTTGGTTTGTATCGCCTATGCAGATGCTCTATCACTTAAGAGCGTCTTAGTCATTTAAACATGCACTTTTGTTATATTAAACATGGCATTTAATTCAAGGGTCAAGGCACCCAACCAAGGGTGTCATCTCACCTAGGCAATGCCTTGATGGAGATGTAGACTGGAGGCACACAACCTCCAGCTCTTTTTAGCTTGAAGTGGCTGTTCTCATTTTGGAGACTGGCTTTCCTCCTTGTTGGTCTGGTTTTTTACCATTGGACCAAGTGGAATAATGCTATTAGTGTATTCTGCTTTGTAGGTATCAATTGATCATATAGAACTTTACAGTGTTAGAATAATGCTATTAGTTTTAGACCATTTCTCTGTATTTTCCCTTCTTATTGGGGACTCTAGGAGATAGTATCTGACGTGTTATATTATTAGTTGTGCACGTGCTCTTTCATGGCTTTGTGTAGGAAATTTTCATTTGAAGGGATTCATCGAAGAGAGTGAGTGAACAGGGTTCCTGGAAGAATAGTTGAGCTATACCAATGGTCAATTATGTAAATAGTTAGGCACCTGCATGTTTATAGGATTAGCATTAAGTTTTTTTTTTTTCCAAATTGGAGCAGAAAATAGTGAACAGCTTTCCTTTGCAACATACTTGTACCTGATTAGGGATAGGTCACTTAATTACTTGTTTCCTTTTTTCACCTGTATTCATTATTTGCAGCTTCTTACCAGAACACTCAAGGAACACAGAACGAGAATGATCCAAATAATACAACTGTGGGTACTTTGTTCTGTTTTAGATGTAGAAATGATTTATGTATTGCATGCATTGGTCTCATCAACTAAAATTGCAGATATTTGTTGGTGGTTTGGACTCTAATGTTACGGATGAACATCTGAGACAAGTTTTCAGCCAATTTGGAGAGTTGGTTCATGTGAAGATACCAGTAGGCAAACGCTGTGGATTTGTTCAATTTGCTAACAGGTTTGCAATTTGTCCAACATATGCAATTTATAGTAATAAAAGCTATGATGGCTGGCTACTGATATGGACACCATTTCCTAAAATCCAGCATGTGGATACTCATACAGTTGTTTATTCTATGTTATTTTCTTGTATTTTGCATTTATATATAGTTTTTGAAGCAAAATGTCATTTCTCAAGGCTTATGGTTTTCAAATTCACTTAATTTCTCAAGGCTTATTGCTTATACCATTTTACATATTTTTAGTAGTCTTGATGCTGCAGAGCACATCCAGAAGTAGCAATGCATTATCTGGTATCATATCTGCCATGTAATTTGCATTCTACACTGTATGCTAGGCATACACAGTTTTCCGGGTATCACAAGTAATAATCAGTGTAGAAATATCAGAATACCTAATCTGTTTTGTTTTGTTTTTTTTTTTTTTTTTCATTCATGGTGCTTCAGAGCTTGTGCTGAGGAGGCTTTACTGATGTTGAATGGAACTCAGTTGGGGGGGCAAAATATTCGGCTTTCATGGGGACGTAGTCCATCCAATAAACAGGTTCCAATATCTCCATTATACAAGTTGCTTGTGCTTTACGAAATATAAATGTTTATTTTACCATGGAACTGACAATTTTACAGGACCCATCTGTTGGATGGGTACAGCCACAACCAGATCCAAACCAATGGAATGGTGGATATTATGGCTATGGTCAAGGGTATGAAGCCTATGGATATGCTCCACCTCCTCAAGATCCAAACATGTATGCCTATGGGGCCTATCCTGGATATGGAAATTACCAACAACAACAGGTTAAATCTCAATTCTCTTATCACCTTTTGTAGATATTTTTCATTTAGAGCAAACTGCCAGATGAATAATAAGTACCAGCACAATGATGGTTCTAATTTGACAAGCAGTTCCCAAATTAGCCTAGACCTTGATATTTCAAAAAGAATATGTACTTGGTTTGTGTCAAAGGCTACTTTTTTAATTGTTAGTAGAACAGGTTTTTCATTTGTAATAATAGTTGGTTTGATATTTTAATTGTTAGCAGTGCGGGTATAGTTCTATTTTGACAAACAGATCCCAAATTAGCCTAAACCTTTTGATATTTCAAAAAGGAAAATGTAATAATACATAGTTTTGCACTCTACGTATTTGTTTTTGTATTCCTTCCAAACTGAGCCTTTGGGAAGAGTGCAAATACAAATATGTTCAGTGCAAAATCTTGTATATGGTATTTATACAGTATTTCTTAACTTTGTAATTGCACTCTACATATTTGTATTTCTACTCTTGCCAAACTGAGGATATTGGTCGTATAGTTCAGAAAACTTTTGAGTGCAAATTTCTTTAGACTAAATAAAATATTAAGTAGGTAAATGAAGGTAAATAGGATAATGGTTGTATAGTTCAGAAACCTGTTATCTGTTGATAAGGGTAAAATTGATAGTGCAAGAAAACAAAATTTTCTTCGGTTATTTTGATAGTGCAAGAAAGTTCAGAAGGCTGTGTTTGGTTGCAGTGCAAATAAGTTTGCACTAGTACAAATGCATAGGAGTGCAAACGTAAAAAATGTAAATTCTTGTTTAGTTTTGTTTTGAAATTTACTTTATTCTGCTTCATGTCGTCATTTATTTTATTTGTACTGCAATCAAACTAAATAAGCTAAAATTCGGAACAAAAATAGGTCAGAATTTACATTAAAATCATTTGCACTGCCATGGTTTTGCATCAGTACAAATTTATTTGCATTGCAACCAAACACAGACGTTTTTGCCAGCTAACATTGAATTCGTGATGCATCTTTCTTCACGTTATTCTAGTTCTGCGTCTATTGGCATTTATCATGCTTTTTTTTATTCTTTAATTTGAATCGTCTGTTTAACGTCATGTACGCATGCTTCTCTTTGTGCAGTGATTTGGTGTTGATCATCCGGTAGTATTCTGAATGCGGAGGTAAAACTTTTGTGTATCCAAAGAGAGGGAAATGAAGTCCTATCTCTGTACTCTAGTTTGTTGCTGCTTGTGCGGGCTTCTCCCTATGGATTTGTCGAATTGGCCCTCGTTTGAAATTTTCTTGGACAATTAGAAAGCTGCCAGTCTGCATGCCCCTATGTTCTTTTTTTTCTTCTTTCTTATGCAACTTTGTGAGTTTTAATATCAAGTATACTCTGGCTGAGATCGAGTATGAAAGATAGTATATATATTATCTCCAACTTCTGCCATCTAGACTTGAAATTAATTTGTCCTTCTGTTAGAGTTTTGCCAGACACCCTATATTGGATCACTATTTGGGGGTCTCAAAATTAATTTAAAGCGTTTCCGTCAGGTCAACGAGGTTCCTGTGTGCCTCTACAATAGACATGATTGAGTGGTTGCTGCCACAAAAACTAGGTTAGAACGTCAGAAATTGGATTTTCTTGGTAGCTTCTGTTTTGGGGGTCAAGTTTTTGGAAATGAAGTTCTTACTGGATTCTTTTCTGATTTAGTGATTCTTGTTCCGACAGCGATATTGGAAAATTGCTTGTTAAAATTATGAAAGCTCAGCCCCGAAAACCATGATGGCACAGTGATGAGTTTGTAACCTGTATGTATGTATTTTGGTTGAAGATCCATTTCCTCATTGCTGGGTTGTGATTGAGAGGATATGGACTTCTGGTGGGCTACGTTGCTAACCAGGGATTAAATTTAAGATTTCGTCGATCCACTTCATTTTCCTCGGTATAAATAAGCACAGGCTATTGAATCGGTGGTAGCCAACTTTTTCCAACAGTTAGTAACGCCATCAAATTATTGTCATCACTGGCTGTCGAACGTGGACAGCCAAAGTTCTATTTTATCGGTCTGTACTCTGCTGTTATTTTGGCTTTTGACGTGCGTTTCAGAACATCTAATGCCATTCGCTTTTTTCCACCAAAAAGTACCCATTACAAAAGCAGTTTTTTTTTTCTTTTTTTTCACATTTTAAGAAGCGCTTCTTATTTTCAATCCTAATTTTGCCCATTTAAACTTTTCTTAATACTCAAAATGCATCTGTTGATTTTAAAACCCTTGCCCCACCTTTCACTTTTCGTTGGCAACAGACCATAACCATGTTCGGTTTCCAGCCACTCCTTTTTTTTTCCTAAAAATTTGATCAAATATTGATTCTCAGCACTCCATGGCTCCAGCTGTAGTTTCTGCAACGAGCCAGGAATTATTGAAACCAACCCTAATTCATGCATTTTCTTGTTTTATTCATGAGAATGGATTGATTGAAACCCCCTTGCCATTAGCTCGTTTTGAACCAAGCTATGTTATTATGTGTTTTTTTATTAAAAGCGCTTTGTCAAGCAGATTTTTAACGTTTTTAAAGTGTTTATCGAAAAAACACTTAAAAGCCCGTTTACAGACAATAAGCCCCACCAAACGCAGCATGAGTATTAGATCGAGTGGTTCATATTATCCCAGCGCTCACCTGGTATTAGGTCGCATGCGAGAAAGTATTTGTACATTTCAAGAAAGACGGCGAAGTTCTATTTGTTTTACTGCATAGTTTATAATGCAGCACCCAGGTCGGTCTGAGACTCAATTCAACAGCTATAAGATGTGGTTGCCACTCAAACGAACAGAATGCAATGGAGAGTGGATTTGTTTAGTGAATGTTCTTCATATATCTCACCTTGACACTAAATAAATATAAAGGAATGTTCATTTTCTCTAAATTTTGACATCTAAAAGTGCAATAATTACATTAAGAGATATAATGGTATTGGTGAACTTATATTTCTTCTAAACTCTGAATGCTGAGAATGTTCTGAATTCTGAAAAATATCAAATATCCATTTTGAACTCATACAAGCGAACTTTTGTTTATCTTTTTGGGAGTATCATTGAAAAACAAAAAAAATGTATGATTGCACTAATAAGAGATGAGAAGAAATGAATACTCATTTTTATCATAAAGTTAAAAGATTCCTCTAAGAAGAAAAAAACAGGCCCTAACGATCAACCCGAAAGCAAAAAAATGGAACTGCTACCTTTAAGGTGTACTTGTACACAATTATGTTTCTTTCAAGTAATTTCTAATATCCTGGCTCAGAAGCATAATTTTCTCCATATCCAAAATTTAGCAACGGAAAAGTAAAGACTATATGTTCTATACTTCTATAAACAAATGCTCCACTGCATAGTAAAATTAATTGTGGACAGTGATGCACATTCCACAAGCTGCAACCTAAAGCCAGTATTTTAACTTTTGTAACTTATGAATGCATAGAACTCAATAATTTAAGAGCCAGGGCCTCTTGCTCTGCTAGTGAAATGGAATCAGCATGGATACCCAATCTGTTCTTTCCTTTCTTCTCTTCAATATCACTGTCACTGTCGAAATATATTTTTGATCTTTTGGTTGTCTTATCACCAGTTTCTTCTCCATCGGACCTAGTAATATCCTCATCATCCACATCATCATCTTCTTCTTCTGCTCTCCCTCTTTTCAGTTTCATCTTCTCCTTAATTCGCTTTTCTCGAAGACGTTGGCGGTGCAGAAGCTTGTCCTCCTTGTCCTGCCGCCTCATCTCTTCTTTCATTTTCTCATACCGTTCTTTTACTGCAACAAAATCAGACGCATAATAATGCAAAACATTACAGATTGAGCTAACAAAGATACAATGGGCAAGAAAATACGCTGCCCATGATGAGATAAAACTTGTGAATCAACAAAATATCAGTTTGCAGCAAATAAGGAATACAAAGTTCGACTTATCACTTATTTGTAAGAATTTTCCGCACTTAGCTGTACACTTCAAAAAAAAAAAATCCTTTATGCTAAGAGCACCAGTCGACTAATGGTACAGAATTTACAGCATATACCTTTGTCTAGCTGAAGCACGCCATCTCCACTGTTTGTGTCAGCTAATGTTGCAAGCGGGGGAAGTGTATTGCCTTCCTCATCAAAAACGACCCTTGTCCCAACGGGTCTATGTATGTTTATCTTCAGCTTCTTCTTCTTCAGAATCCTTGTTGCTGGTCTATGATGAAGAACAATCAACAGAACAAAATCAAATCCTAACTCAAGCTCCAAAACAAGATTAAATAAAATGGAGATATTCAAGGAACCAATTAAATAGGGATGATCTAACAACATCAGCCTGTGCATGTATGTGGCATGGATCCAGGAAGGTTAAAGCTGCCGTCAATTCCAACTTGGATGATCTCCTACACCAAAATTGGCTCATTAGGATGACAAATATCATTTCCTTTTTCTTATGAGTAAAATCTATTCCTCTTGTAGGCAGTAGAACCTACAGAGGAAATGGTTCTAACATCCGTTGAGGCCAACCTTCAACATAGGAGATATATTTAAGTGGCACAAATCAAATCTGGACCTTCGCCTATACACAATTCATATGCACCAGGATGTGTTGGTAGATTATTTCTACAGTCCCAAATAGAATCACTTTTGGTTTCAAGATAGAGAGTTTCATGGAGATATCATACATGGAAGCATCATTTCCTCCCTCTTCTAGTGGGGTCTCCTCCTTATCTAAAAGGAAACCATCTTCCACTTCTTCCTTGGATTTACTAACATCCAACTTTTTCTTTCGGATTTTCACCATCTCATCCTCACTATCATTCTGTTGTTGAAGAGGATGACCTTCACTGGGCTCCTTTCTGCACTTGCTTTTCTGATTCAGAAAACGGATTTTGGGGGTCATGGGCAGACCCAATGATGCAGAGAACTCTTCAATAGGTAATTTCGTCACATCAAAAACTTCTTTATCTCGCTGAAGGTATATAGACTTCAAATATGTGGTGAAAGCCCTTTGAGCTAGGTACTGCATATCTGGATACTTTACTAGCATTGCTGCTAACAATCCTGTAACTGGTTGCAATCTTTTTGTGTTTGCCTGAAAAAGATCGGCAATTAAAGCTGTAATAAGCAATGTATATGATAAACACTACAGATAAAAATGAGGAAAAAGACTGGAAAATTAGATTTCTCAATTTTTCTTCTGAACTAGAAGTTGGTATTTTTTTTTTTTCTTATCTTGAGTCCATTTTTGTTTTTTTAATATGTATATGATTTGCAATGGGTTTAAATAGTCATAACTAGTAAAAGAGTATTATTATTATTATAGAATTATGAGTTTCTAGAGAAGTTGAAATTTTAGCAACATCACCTTTTGTGCAGCTAGTGTAATTTGGAAATCTGAAACATTGCCACTTATATCTGAAACTCATCAGAGAAAAGTAGTTTTCTCCCTTTAAGTGTGCTTAAATCTAATAGAACCTATCAATACATATCATACCATATCTGTACGATATTTATCAGTTTTTTATGTTGCCGATACACCAAATATAAGGAATTAGGGTTAATGTTAATTTCCAAAGGTTAATATACATCCATGATATCTCTTTTCTGAATAAATTGACAGATGGAACTAAAAAGTGGTGAGAATATTGATGCTTTGATACACTCAATACTTGAAAACATGAGTATCTGAAAGTTTGTTCAGACTAACAAGTCACTGGATCCACTATCATTTAGGGGATGTTCAATAACAAGGTTGACTTTGTTTTTGAAAACAAAATTAACTTTTAAAAATAATGGAAAAAAGAAATCCTAATTCATGGGGCATCTATCAATTAGACACACCATAAATTTTTTATTTTTATTTATTCATTTATTTATTTGAATGGGAGGACAAGGGATGCCAGTCAGGTTAGCCAAAATTAACAATTTACACTGTTTCGGGCTCGGGCTGGGCCCATTGAAATTTTGACAAAACCCCAACCCTAACCAGCAAAAGTTGCACCCCTAATACAGAGTGTAGCATTCAGAAATATGTCCATAACTTCAAGTTCCGAATGTAAAAATCTACTATAGATTTATAGCAACATGAGAGGAAAATATGGAACCTTACTGTTGGTTCACCCTGTAGTCACAAATCACAATACCTAACCAACAAGACAGATAAATGCACAAGATAAATATGGTCTTACCTTAATAGTGTGTATAGGTATTTTTTGCGCTTGCAATTTTGCCAGCATTTCTATTTCTGAGGGCGCCAGAAATAAGACTGACTGACCACTAGCCCCAAAACGGGCAGCACGACCAACCCTGTGAATGTAAGTTGCAACATCTTCTGGACAGTCCACCTGGATAAACAGCATAACTAGATCTAAGACTGACTGACAAGAACAATAAAAAAGCTTCTTTTTTCCTATTACTGAACCACCATTTCACCAATACTTACCTGAACGACCCAGTCAACTGCCTTATCAAAATCAAGGCCCCTTGATGCCACATCAGTAGAAAAAAGAACTGATCTTTGTTCACAGAATTGAGAGTATATCCCCATTCTCCTTTCCAGCTTCATCCGCCCATACAGACACTTCAAAGGGATTCCAGGACGTAGTTTCTTAAATGCCTCAAATACAAATTTTACCTGCCAGACAGTGACATCTAATTGAAACCAAAAACAGGAATAGCAACTACTACGAATTTGCAAATATTGTATTATGACAAATCAAGCATGAGTGAGGCAGGTGAATGCTTGTGCTGCAACAGTATTCAGGGAGAAGCCAACATCTTCCGCCTGTGGAACACACATAATGTATGCAGCAGATCCCTACAACGGATCTCATCCAAGAAAAGTGGTAATAAGGTGAGAAGCATGCAGCAATGATTCCAGAAGCAAACCCAGAAAATTTTCCCTAGGACCATTCAGAAACTTCTAAACTGTTGAAGGTCCTACATTATACATTATAAGCCCTATATTAAATTCTTTTTTTTTCTTTCCCCTGTTTAGAGAGAAAGAGGGGGTTGGCTCCTCAGGACCCTCAGGTCTGAAACTGGATAATTCCAACCGTCTTCCATGTGTAAAAAATGCTCCCATCTCTTGACCAAGGTATAGTTTACCATCACACAAGATGGTACACACTATATTAATCCTCTTGGTCAAGTAAAGGAATCGTTCTCAACCAGGGAGAATGGTGTTAAATTACCTGCTTGCAGCTTGAAAGAAACACAAGAATCTTTGAGGTAAGATGCGCTTTTATGAAGCTCCAGAGCATGTCCAACTTCTGGTCAAGAGGAACAATCATTGCAATTTGACGTAAGCGATCAGGAGTGGCTGCCACAGACTCCTCATGCACACTTAGGTACTCCGGGTCCTTCAAACTTAGCCTAGCAAGATCCTGAATTGATTTTGTTTGTGTTGCTGAAAACAGCAAGGTCTGCCTCTGGTTTGGTAGCTGTGAAATAATTGCATTTAAAGCCTTCTTAAATCCCACATCAAGAATCCGGTCGGCCTCATCAAGCACCAAAACCTGTATCCTGACTAGGAAAATATAAGTAATTCAGCAGCTAAATTAACACAACAGGCAAAAGGTAATATGAACAACTTTTTTTTTAAATGGTATTGTATTAATAACAAATGTGGATATAATTATAGGCCAAAAAGAGCTAATGCAGAACAAAAAATAAATAGAGGAATAAGTGGTTTCAAACTGGGGATTTGAAAAAACAATTCATTTCATATTTCTACATGAGGAAGAAAGAGAGAAAACTATATGCCTTAAAAACAAGAGACAAATGTGTTATGTAATATGTATAGCCATTAATAAAGTGATTCAAGAGTTAAAAACAACTATACAATGGTTAAGTCAAAATTGAGATACTTCCAGGAACCCTCTAGGTACAGAGCTTCCTAGACCCAAGGATGCAGAAGATGGAAGGGAATGCCCAATTGCAAGGAAACTTCCTTTTATGAGCAATAAAAATAGATTACTCTATAGATGATTAATGGGTATAGAACAGTTTATGGACCGGAAAGTGAGGGTAAGATATGTGTGGTGAGGGTGGAGGCATTGACCCAATAATCTTTGCAGTTGAAAAAGAAGGAAAGATACCCTCTCGGCAAAGAAAATTTTATGTTGTTCCCTTTTGATAGTCTAGGGGAAAACTTGTAGATATGCTTTTTTGTCTTTTGTAAACTATTTTCAGTTTAGGTCAATTTTAAGTACCAATATTAGTGGTTATATGAATTTATACAATTTAAAAATTGTAGTAAAAGCATTGGTTATTGTTTCTTAAACTCTGTCATAAAGGATTTGTTATCAGTGCAGTGATGAAGGAGAAAAGAAGAGAGGAAGAAAGAGGAGAGAGAGCAGAAGAGAGAAGAAATATTTGAGAGTCAAAAGCATACTGGCGGCGCCAACTATTTGTTATATATACTAGGGCGACAGCAACTAAAAAAATAAAAAGGTAAAAGTACAATAGTACCCCTGTGGTACTATGCTTAGGAAAAATAACAGCTTTCAACACTCCCCCTCTCAAGTTGGGGCATAGATGTCAATCTTGCCCAACTTGTCACATAAATCATGATGTCGTGAGTGGTGTAGCCCTTCTATAAAGATGTCTACAAGTTGATCCTCAGAACTGACATAAGGAATGCAAACTTCCCCTACGACAACCTTCTCTCTGATAAAATGTTTGTCGACTTCGATGTATTTAGTTATATCATGTAACACTAGATTAGCAGCAATGTTTATGGCTGCTTTGTTATCACAGAATAGGGTTATAGGTCTGTACACTGGAAAACCCAACTCACTCAACAGATTCTTTAGCCACATAATTTCAGCCACTCCATGAGCCATTGCCCGATATTCAGCTTCAACACTGGATCTAGCTACCACATTCTGCTTTTTACTTCTCCAGGTAACTAGATTTCCTCCTATAAAAGTATAGTAGCCACTAGTTGACTTTCTGTCATTCAAGGATCCTGCTCAATCCGCATCAGTGTACACTTCAACTTTCAAATGTCCGTGCTTTTGAAACAACAAGCCAACACCTGGGAACTTCTTAAGATATCTGAGAACTCTTTCTGCTGCTTCAAGGTGAGTGGTCTTGGGAGCATGCATGAACTGGCTAAGAACACCGACTGCATAAGCAATGTCAGGGCGGGTCATAGAAAGATAGGGGAATCAACTGGCTTCACCTCCAATTTTTTTGTATCCTAGAGTAGATCTAGGACATACTTCCTTTGGGAAATGAAGATACCCTTTTGTGTGCGGGCAACTTCAATTACAAGGAAGTATCTTAGGGGACCTAGATCCTTTACTTCAAACTGTGTAGCAAGAAAAATCTTCAACTTTTGGATTTCATCCTTCCAATTGCCAGTGATAATTATTTTTTTTTATCAATAACCACATAATTCATTAAAATAGGAAAAAAGTTACAGGGAAGGGGAGCTAAAGATACTTAACTCCCCAGAAAAGAAGTACAACTGATTTAAACACTCAGACCTTCACAATTGAGCCCAAAACCTAGAATTTCTAAAAACTCCTTGCCTAGCCAATCCATCAGCAAAGGAGTTAGCATTTCTTCTAACCCAAGTACATGAACTTCCATATCCTTAATCAGCCACTTGACGTTTCTTTTCTCATTGTTGTAGCTCCACATCTTGGAAGTGTCTTCTTTCAGCCAATTCACAACAATCACAGAATCTCCTTCTATAAGCAGTTTCTTGACTTGAATTTCTTTGGCCCTTTGTACCCCTTCCAACACTGCTAACACCTCAGCCCTCAAGGAGTCTCCCACTCCAATTGGACATGAGAACATAGCTATTACATTACCTCTCTCATCCCTTAGGACTCCCCAATACCCGAAGGCCCTGGATTCCCCATGCTACTGCCATCAAAATTTAGTTTGACAAAACCATGAGATTCAAAGTCTTCTTCCTTGTAACTGAGCTAGCAACTTCTTTCCACTTTCTTAGCATATCATTTGTTGAAAAATCTGTAAACTCCTTCATTGTCTTCAGCCAGTGTATTACTCTTATATGAATCAACTCTACCAAAGTTTCCAAGCCTCTCTCCTTTTCCGAGAAGATTCTTCCATTTCTTTCCTCCCATAGTGTCCAACAAACAACAGCTCTCACGCATCTCCACATAATTCTTGATGTTTTCATTGAGAATTCAATAGGCGAGGAGGAAAACAAGCTTTGTAGACTATTTGGAGGTGTCCACCTGCATCCAAATAATTACATTATCAACATATACTATCAAAGCAGCAATTTTTCCTTCCCCTCTTTTCACAAACAATGTGTGATCAGATTGACATTGTTTGTATCATTTCTGCTGAACCGCTGCATGGAACTTGTTGAACCAGGCTCTCGGTGATTGTTTCAGCCCATATAATGACTTCTTCAACCTGCACACTTTCTGTTCATTACCTTGAGCCCGAAAACCAGGGGGTTGTACCATGTAAACTTCCTCTTCAAGGTCACCATTCAGGAATGCATTCTTGATATCAAGCTGATGTAGATCCCAATCAAGATTAGCAGCAAGAGAGAATAGAACTCTAATGGAGTTCATCTTGGCAATGGGTGCAAGTCTCTGCATAATCAACTCCATACACTTGTGTAAACCCCTTTGCCACTAAACGAGCTTTATACCGCTCCACCGTACCATCAGCCCTATGTCTGTGAACACCCATTTACATCCAAGTGGATCATTTCCCTTATGAAGATCTACTAGTTCCCATGTGCCATTCCTATGCAAAACATTAATTTCTTCCTTCATAGCATCTGTCTATTCAGGTACTGAAAGAGCTTCAGCCACATTCTTGGGGATAGGAACATTGTCAATGGAAGTGAGAAAGGCCCAAAAAGAGGGTGAAATGTTTTCATACGAAACAAAGTGAGAAATGGGGTGTTTAGTGGTGCAAGATCTAACACCTTTCCTATGAGCAATAAGAAGGTCAAGGTCATTAGCACCAGAGGTATCAATAGCAATAGAATCAGGGACATCGATAGGAACCAAGATACCCGAGTGAGTATGATCCGCCCCTGGAGAGTTTGGTGGCATTGTAGGTACAACTTCTAGGTTCTCCACAGCTCTTGAACTTGGTTAGCCTTTGTGACGACGAAAGAAGACAAAAAAAGGAGGAGGATCAGGAATAGGAGGGAGTTGAACCAATTTCTCCTCGTACTATTGCACGAGGGTCTAATTTTCCACGAGTAGGTGACAGATTTTGGACAAAACAACGACAGCCAAACACACGAGGAGGAAGGGAAAGAAGGGGAGCCTTAGGAAAAAGAAGCCAATGTGGGGCTTTGCACTCTAACCAACGAGAGGGCATACGGTTGATGAGATAGGTAGCACAAAGGATAGCCTCAAGCCAAAATCATTTCGGGACATTCATATGGATTAGTAAACCTCGGGCCACTTCAAGGAGGTGTCGGTTCTTTCTTTCAGCAATACCATTTTGTTGTAGTGTTCGGGCACAAGAGATACGATGAAGTGAACCACATGAAGCAAAAAATTCCGTGAGATTACTATGAAAATACTCTTTGGCATTATCTGATTAAAAATTTTGGATTTCAGTTTGAAATTGGGTGAAGATCATCCGCTGAAAATCTTGAATAATTTTTGGTACTTCATCCCTGGTCCGCATGGGATATACCCATGTATGTCTAGAATAATCATCGATAATACTTGTAGCCACTCTCAGATGGTAAAGTAACAGGGCCCCACACATCAAAATGAACAATGTGAAAAGGAAATTCAGATTTATTAATTTTTGAAGGAAAATGAGTTCTGCACTGCTTACTCAATTGGCAAGTTTGACAAGAAAAATATGAAATTGACACTGACTTAAACAATTCTAGAAACACCACTTTTAAAGACTCAAAAAATAAATGACCAACACGACAATGCCATAAATAGACTTGACTCTTACAGGACTGACTCTTAGACTTTGTGACTTAAAGACCAGCCTTATTCTCCAGCATGTAAAGTCCATCCACCATACATCCTCTACTAATCGTCTTCCCCGATGCCAGATCCGGTATCACACAATAAGAAGGAAAAAATGTTACTGATCAATTTAAGGAATTAGTAATACTACTAACAAAGAACAAATTAATGGGAAATTTCGGGACATGTAAAACATTAGAGAGGGTAAGGCCAAAAGGAAGAGAAATGGTTCCTTAACCAGTTATGGTAGTGTATGATCCATCAGCTAGTCTCACATTGTCTCTTCCAGAAAGGAGGTGATAGGCTTAAAAGTAAGAGGGCATACCAATCATGTGTTTAAACGCTCCAAAATCAATGATCCAGGGAGTGTCAGGAATATGAGATGCAACATGGAAAGTTGTGGCAGAGTTACCTAATGTAGACGCAAATGAAGTTGAGGGAGGGGCATCCATCTGACGAATTGCTCTATCATAGAGCTCTAAATGGTCACGAAAGGAATTAATAATATCCTCCCTTGGGTCAGATCCAGAGACGTGAGTCAGTGTCACGGTAGTAATGGGGGGCTGATTTTCCTAAGAGGCCATGTTTGCCACAGTGTTCTTTCTTGTACTTTGCTGTCCTGACTTTTTATTCAGATCTGAACATTGCTTCTTATTCAAATCTTGACCCCATTTTGGCTTCCCATGAAGATCCCAACATGTATCTCGGGTGTGTCGGGGTTTCTGGCAATGAGTACACCATAGTTTGTCTTTGTCATCCGCCCCCTTTTTAGAGTCCCCTCTCTTAAAGGTATTCCCACCACCTGTAATCACACTTCCTTTTGCTGCCAACCCAACTGCATCCCCTCCAAAACTATTCATCAAGTTCCTTCTACTTTCTTCTGATTATACAAGAGCATAAACTTCTTGGACGAAGAGAAGATCCTTGCTACCTAGGATCTGAACTCTGATGGATTCATATGTCGGATTCAAGCCATGTAGAAAAGAAAACACTCTCTACTGAGATATAAGTTTCTTGTATAATTTTGCATCTTCATCACACTTCCAGTCCACACTCTGATAATGATCTAACTCCTTCCAGACAAAGGTCAAGTCTGAGTAGTACATAGAAAGACACCTCTCCCCCTGTTTACAAGTGGACGATTCTACCTGTAACTGATAAATCTTTGCATAGTGATGCAGCTCAGAATAGGTTGATTTTGCCTGTTCGCAGATTTCATTTGCCGTTTCAGCCCACATAAAGTTTCTTCTTATTTGAGGTTGCATAGACACTAAAAGCCAAGACATGACCATGTTGTTTTCTTGGTTCCATCTATCATATTCAAAACTCCCAAAATTGGGTTCTTTGATTCTCCCATTTATATAACCTATCTTTCCCCTTGTAGTAATGTACAACTTAATCCCTCTTGACCATTCCAAATAATTTAAACCGTCGAGAGGAATAACAGCAATGGGAAAAGATAGGTCCACACCCCCACTTGTAGCAGAATCTTCACTGCTCATGGTAACAGGTTCAAAAAACTCTTAAGAGTGGGGCAAAATCTAGAAAAAGGCTAACGCCAAGGAAGAAAAGGGAGTCCCCCTTTTTCTTTGAAAAATCATAGGTGTTGTTACAATACCACAGCACTAACAAGCCCCCCTTTAGATAAACACCAGTGCAGTTACAGGGCTGACAGATCAATTCTGGATTTACGCATCAAACACAGATGTTGTTACAGTACAGGTCACCTTGACCTTACGGTTCAGCATAAAAGCTGCTATCGCAGCACATAAAGGTCTTTATCGACCTACAGAATTTTCCAGGGGTCAGTCAACCCCACAAAAAAGGAAATATAGAGGTGCTGGTCACCTCACATTCAATCAGCAGACCTAATACAGGTTCTGCCCTGGCACACGGCCAGAAAAAAAAAAAAAAAAAAAAAAAAAAAAAAAGAGAGAGGGAAGAATAGAGATTACTTCAGGCGTGAGAACTGTAGATGATGGCAGCAGATCTTCAACCACTCGAATTGTAGATGGTGGCGGAAGATCTGGAAGTCTTGGCAATCTCTCCTTTTCAAATCTAATGGTCCCGCTCTGATACCATGTTATCAGTGCAATGATGAAGGAGAAAAGAGAGGAAGAAAGAGGAGAGAGCAGAAGAGAAGAAATATTTGAGAGTTAAAAGCATGATGGCAGCGCCAACTATTTGTTATATATAATAGGGTGACAACAACTAAAAAAATAAAAAGGTAAAAGTACAATAGTACCCCTACGGTACTATACTTAGAAAAAGTAACAGCTTTCAACATCTCAAAGAACCATTCAACCTAAAAGCTTAAGCTGTTAGGAGAGGTCCTTGAATAGGTTGATATTCTCTAACACGCCCCCTCACACGAAAGTCCATTGGGCTTGAAATGTGAACAAGCACAAGTCCACCCATACCTTGTGCTGAAACTTAATTAATTATAATGGGGGTAATGATGATCAAACACTAGACTACTTAGTCAAAGTGGCTCTGATACCATCTCAAAGAACCATTCAACCTAAAAGCTTAAGTTATTAGGAGAGGTCCTTGAATAGATTGATATTCTCTAACAGGATTCAGAATATGACATCTAGATCCCTTCTATTCATTGAGAATTCTGAATATTCAGAGGATGATGATGAAAATAGTTCAAATGAGTCCAAGCAAAAAGAGGAGCTAGAAAAAATGGAAGATGTCACCCCAATTGATGAAGCTTTTGTAGCACATAAAAAGTTGGACATAGAAATGGTAGTTGAAAGAAAAGTTCAAGTTGGGAAGAATTAGATTTGTTCTTTTTGGGTGGTGAAGAGTTTTAACACCAAAAATTACTTTACTAGTGAACCTTTTTTTTCTCCTCTCACAAAAAAAAAAAAGTTCAAAAGAAATGTATTTTTGGAGTTGAAAGAAGAGACAAATTCATAGATTCTGAAGTCACATTCATGAAATAAAACAGGCATTTTGAGTGTATTTTGGATTATTTGGGTGTCATGGAGATTAAGTTTCTTGGAGTTACAAGGATGGCAGGATTCTTCTTGGAGGGATGGAGAGAATTTATTTATCAAAGAGAAGACAAAATTAGTAAGCTGCTTAAGGCTAGTTTCAGAGTTAATTTTGTGAGTTATTGATTGAAGGTGCTGTATTGGTTTGTTAAGGGCTTTGTTGGCTGAGTATATCTTTCGATGACAGGAAGTTTGATTAGTTTTGTTCGAAGAGTTTTGAATATGAGACTGGATTTCTTCAGGGAGTTGTGCTCCTTCTTTGGTGGTGGTTGGAGCAACTTATTTATTTTCTATTTTTTGGTGATCCCTTGTCACCTGTGTGGTTGTGCCTATAAAAAATTTCTTTGATGAAATTTCACTTTTATTATAAAGAAAGGACTTTGATCAACTTAGGAAGGCATCTTGGAAAGCAAGTAAAATAAAGAAAGAAAAATAATATGGCTCAACAGAAATCCTCCGTTTTTGAACCCCCCCCCAAAAAAAAAAAGAAAGAAAAACAAAGCACTATCTACAAGTGTAGCAGAATTGTAAGAATCACTTCTATCTGCCACAATGAAAAAAAAAGGCTAGTGCAGTAATTTAAAAGGTGTGCCTAGACACAAGGCACCTTGCCCAAACAAGTCCCATGTTTTTTTTTTTTTTTTTTGAAAAGTGGTAATCAATTTCATTAGATGGAAATCGCTGTAAAGGGAGAGACTTCCTTTACAGCCGGCTACAAGGGAGCACATAGATGCCAAAGCTTCAGAACCCCAAGGTGTCATCCCACAAAATAGAACCCCAATGATCAATGAAATGATTATAATTTAGTCCCCTAAACATTTTATTGATCAAGGCCCACTTCAGAACAGTCCTCTCAACCTTGCCACAAAGCTTCTCAATGGGCAGGGAGACATCTTCAAGGATTCAATTGTCTCTTTCCCTCCAAATGCACCAACAGATTTTCTAAAAATATCTTTGATGAATGAATTAACAACATTAACAAATAGGGGGTCTTAGCTTGTCTCAAGGGGCTTGGTACAAAAGTCGCTCATAGAATTAGGACTGAAAGATGCTGAACATCATATTAGCTATTTGAAATGATGCAATTGGGAATGAAATAAAGAAGTTGAAAGTTTGGCATGCTTGAACGTTCTTTATATGCTATTTTTTATTTTATTTTTTGCATTTTCACTTTAAATATGTTTGTATTATGTTATGTTTATGTATTTTAATTTGAGCTAATAGACTCTTTAAAACATTTAGTTTAAAATTAAAGTTTGTTTTTTAATTAATACTATTTTTAATATTTTCTTAATTTATTTTTGAATTTTTGATACTTTTTGCAATTTTTATTTTTTAATTTCTGTCCCTTGCTTCAAAAAGGTGTGTGCCTTGCCTTACGCCTTGCGCCTCGGGTTAAAAATGCCTTTTGCATTTTTTTTTTGTGCCTTGCACCAAACACTGAGCTAGAGTGTTGTAACAACCCTGTGCTGAAGCATTTAAGCCATATTTTTGTATGATGGAAAGTACTTCAGATGATGGAATCATTGAATTAATCAGATCCACTAAATTGAAGGTTCCAACACCGAATTTGCAGTGTTTGCAGTGTGTGCAAAAAAATGAAGGGAAAAATATATATCTTGACCTGGAGCTGTGAACATTCAAAATTTGGAGTCTCATCCATGTGCTGAAGAAGTCGACCAGGAGTGCATACTAATATGTTAAGATCATTGACACTCTCCTTCTCAGTGTCAACATCTTTACGACCACCAATTAAGAGGCCTGCACTGAAACCATGGTGCTTTCCTACGGTTTTTAATACTTCAAAGGTTTGACCTGCTAATTCTCTTGTTGGGGATATTATGATGCTGCCTACTCCATCCTCAGTACCCCATCTTGCCCTGTATAACTTCTCCAAAACCTGAAAAGGAAATAGTTACAAGATTGTTTCACTTTATTCAAGAGAAATTGTGGACAATCCAACATAGATTAACTCTTTTTCTGATATAAAGGCAGCTATTAAAATTAAAATTGAAAATGATCAATACCCAGTGTAAGTTGCTGGGACTGAAACATGTTAACCAAATAATGAGACCTTTCAGACATGGAATCACGATGAACTTTTATTTACGTTATAGTAACCTTTTTCTTTGTCCCTAGAAAGTTGTGGGTTTTGGAAAATAAAGGAGTAACAAATAGGTGTCTGGAACTATATGATGGTGCAACACTAAAACAGAAAGTGTCATTTGAACAACATTTGAACTATGGCAAACTCGGCAATTAAACACATGAGTTAAATGCTACGAGAAAAAAAGGTAAAACAAAAGAATGAAGAATCAAACAGGCTTCATGAGCATTAATTCACAGTTGGGGCGGCGTTAAGTAATATATAGACATTAAGATAACAAAATGAACAAAATAAAACTGCAGAAAATAACAGAAAACAATCACAATTAAAATTAAAACCTAAAAAAAAAACAATTCTAGGTGACAAACAAATGAAAAAAAAAAAAAAAATCTATAATATCGAACAGTACTCACCGGTATGAGAAATGCGAGAGTCTTACCCGACCCGGTCTTTGCAGCACCTAGGATGTCGCGCCCACATAACGAATGCGGCAATGAAGCTCGCTGAATATCAGACATAGTTGTAAACCCCGCTTCACGCAACCCATCCTTCGTTTTCTGAGACACAGGCAGTTGATGGAACCGCTCGCATCCAATGTAACGGGAGAAGGAATTCTCACCGATGCGACCAACCGGATCGTCGACTGGCAATGGTGAGATTGACAGAGGATTCAAACCTGAATCGGGTTTTCCGGATTCGATCCATGACTCGAGGAGCTCGATTTCCTGAACCTCCGAGAGACGACTTTGCTTGCGAAAGAACGCCTTCGCCTTCTTCGATTTGGGTCTCCTCATCGAGCTTCTGATTATCTGCTACGATTCTATGAATAGATGAAGATCCTCTAGTGTTAAGGTACAGAATAATTAAAGCCTTAAAGGGGTATCACCATGGGGTTGAGAGGGATAGTTTAACGCTTCGTAAAGAAGAGGGGTTTGAGGATTTTGGAATGGAAGGTAAGAATCAATACAATCAATCAGAAGGGTTTAGGGTTTTGAAAAAGACATGGCGGTTGAATGCCAAACTCACAAATTAGGGTCTGTTTGGCCGTTTGGGATGGCTGAGCCGAAAATTCACTAAGCTAATTCAGCCGCTCCAGATAAGTTGTTCAAAAGAGGCTGAAGCGGACAGCCCACTCTGACAGCCGATTCGGGCTCTCCGGATAACCGCTAACGAGGTGTTTGGCAATATGAACGGGTCCGTTTTTCAAAAGTTGGGTGGGGGGGAAACCGGAAGAAGGCACCAAGTGATGATTCAACAAAAAAAAAGAGGTAATTGATGAATTATTGTTTCCGTCAAGGCAAAAAAAAAATATCAAGAGGATAAAATCTTGCATAATTTGAATGAAACCTTTCCCCACCTTTTTTCCATAAAACCAAACACAGCCTTAATCATGTGACTTAAAATTTTAAGGGTGTCAACGGTTCCAAAAATCTGAATTTAAATTGGAGATTTGACATAAACAATTGAATTTAGATAATTCGAATATCATTACATCTTATAAGATATTTAAATATTTAAGGCTTAAGTTATAAAATTAATTTTTATATTCATATGATAATATTATATATATATATATATTAATTATCTAAAATAATTAATTGGTTGAATTCGAATTGAATGAATATTTAAATATTTAATCAAAATTGAATATTAATTTTCAATATCTACATGGAATTGAATTCGAATAGTAAATTGTATAATTGAATATAAATGTGAGTTAAATCCATTTATACCATAGAGGGAATTTGGAGGTAATTTAGGTGTAAATAGAAGGTTGTCAAAGAGAATATGGAATCTCAAAATAAAATCCTATGATATAAAATTTATATAAATATTTTATACGTTTTAATGCATTAGAGGTGACTTCAAGTTTTGTTTTTTTTTTCCTTTTTTAGAAGGCCCCTTAGGGCAAATTCATTCATCAACAAACTCGGTTTACATCTCTTGTATAATAGTATTGAGGAGGAATTCAGGAACTTGAGACCAAGTTTTAACTCTTGAATAGCAAATTTAGCCAATTTATGTGCAGCCATGTTAGCTCTTCTAGGAATGTGATAAATCAAGTAACTTGAGAAGCAACGTAGCAATTGTTTGCAGTCAACAACTAAGACACTAATAGACCACGGTAGATCCAACCAATCCACCAACAAACATCTGATTAAAGTGAGAGCATCGCTCTTAACCATAATGTGAGAAATACCCACCTCTAAAGTCAGTTTCAAACCCTCCACCAAAGCCAAAGTTTCAACGATCAACAGGCTTTCTTTTTGGAAGGGAGTTGCTCTAGCAAAAAGAAGTTCTCCAGCACTGTTGCGAAGAATCATACCACCACCAGAAGAAATGGTCCCTACAGCACCATCTATGTTGAGTTTCACCACTCTTGCTAGTGGTTTTGACCACCTAGTTGAGTTGACAATCAAAGGGGAGTGAGGCAAGTTGTGAACACTGGATTCATTTAGTGTATTTCATATTTGCAAATATTTAAGTCTGGTTGATAATTGAAGGTGGGTAGAAAATTGAACCCTTGAAAACCAAATCATTACATGCTGTCTAGATGAACTATAATAGGCTTGCACTTCTCAAGAAAATATAATTTTCACCATTTTGTTCCTTGTCCAACTCCATCCATCGTTCAATCTAGTTAATAAGGTGGCCAACTTCATTGTTCATACAAATATTCATTGTCCAAACGAGGCTTCTTCTTCATTGTCTGGGTTTTTCATTATTCCATTTTCTATTCATTTGCCCCATCCATTGACGCTCTTAAGGCTGTTTTTATTTGATGGAAAAGGTAGAGAACGGAAAGGAAAAGTGAGAAAACCTTTACAAACCTTGTATATTGGTTTCTACATTTTCCTTCAAATCAAACATAGCCTAATAGTTAATACCATTAAGTCTCTAGTTACACGAAGATTTTGTGTTTCTCAAATGATGGATAAGATCCTATTTTTTTCTCTCTTTTCTGCATATACATTTAAACAGTTAGAATCGTCATTCTCATAAGCATCGTTTCCTTCTCCCCTATATTTATCATTTTATTTTCCATTGATTGTCTTTTATATCAACCACTGGTCATTTATTTCCAGTATTAGAAGTCATCCTCTATCGGTTGATACAAGAGATCCTATCACATTGGCCATAGATAACTGCGTTGGAGATTCCGGTGGTGGTGAAGATGTAATTAAGTAAATGTTAGGGCAAAATGAATACAAATTAAGAGCCTTTGAGAAAAGTAGATAGAAAGGGAAGACATCAATGGAGTGTTGTAAGTCGTGTGTTGAACAAGAAATAAACTTAACCTCCTTTCTTGAAAAAAAAAATAAAGGAAAAAAAGCTAGAGAGCTTGCTACACTAAATTTGTAAGGCATCTATATCTATATATTAAAATGGAATGTGCCAAGTAAGCATTTTCCTGTTTTATGGTTTCTTCTCAAAGTTATTTATCTTTTTTTTTTTTTGGTTTCTTCTCAAAAGCACTTATCTTTTTTCTGTTTTTTTTTTATTTTCTAATTTTAAGTTTAAACAAAATAACTTAAGTAGTTAGTGGCCAATCACATTTAAGACTTTTAACACTTCTCATTAACTCACCATTCTCTCTCTCTCTCTCTCTCTCTCTCTCTCTCCTTCCCATTAACTCTTTTGATAACCTCTCATTAATTCTCTCCATTACTCCACTTTCACAAAATTCATTAACCTTTATCTATATCTATTTCAATTTAAACATAATTATATATATATATATATATACGTTAAATAATCTACTTCCATTTCAAATTGTAATTATTAGTAATGATTAATTATATTGAAATTGAGATATACAATGATATATTATTACGTTAAATAATCTACTTCCATTTCAAATTATAGTCCATTTATATTCAATTTGAAAACAATAAAGCATAATTCACCATAATAAAAATAATTTAGTTACTAAGTAAAATAAAAATAATTATTAATTATTGTTATTTGTTGCTACCAAATATGGAGCCAACGATAACAACATAATTTCCAGTGTCTGAGACCAACGGGTCCAACCTGCTGAGAGAAAGAAGATGTCAGAGGCCCTGTGAGTTATCCTAAGGGCGGAGACTCCGACGATCAAGTTAGCCGAGAGTTGTGAGGGGTCGGACCAAGCAAGAGATGAGACTTAGAGCTTAAGTTCTAGTGTGTGTTTACCTCAATGTGAGAACCCCTTTTTATAGTTGGAGTTTCATGAGATGAGGAGTAGTTGGGAGTAGGTGGCGACGGTTGGCAGTGGTTGGTGATGGGTGGCTAGGATATGTCTGATTGACGCCACGTGTCAAGATCTATAGGTCGGCCAAATACCACTATATCATTATTGATAAAAATATTTTTTATTAATATAATAAAAAGAATTTAGTTAATAAAATGAATAAGATAAATTTAAAATTAATATAAAACTAATAAAAAATTATCTAAGAATTATTAGTTTTATAATTAATTTGTACTAATTTAAAACCAACTTAAGTTCTACTAAAAAATAAAAACTTAATATAGTTAATTAAATTTCATAAGGAATTTAAAATTAATAAAAACTTATATACTTAATTAAATTTAACTTACTAATTTCAAAAAATAATATGAAATATCAAGTTTAAACATAGTTTAATCATTTTAAATTCCATTTAAAAATAAGGAAAATTATAAAAACATCCTTAAGTTTTCTAACAATCCTATGAAACTCCCCAATGTTTTGACCTTAACAAAAACCTCTTCTATTGTTTTGAAAACAAAAGTGCAAATACCTTATTTTTTTCATCATTCCAAATATAAAATGTTGATGTAATGCATTAGTTTTACTTCACTTCAGCCTTTTTTGCCTTACTTTGTCCAAGAAGAGTAAGGAGAATCGTTCTTTGAAAGTTGTTTGACAAAATAAATTAGTGGAGGGTAAAGTTGAAACTTTAAATTGTGTATGGTAATGCATTAACAATGATAAGGTATTTTGGTAACTTTAATGTCATTGTTACTAAAAAGCCAAGGGAAATGAGGCATTAGCAATGCTTTTTTTTTTCAAAACTATAGGGGAGGCCATTGTTAGGGTCAAAACACAGAGGTGGTTTATAGAAATTGTTAGTTAGATGTTTTTTATAATTTACCTAAAAATAATACAAAAATAATAATAAATTAATAAACAAATTCATTTAAAAAAAATCGCATTAAGATACAAAAAATACAAACTTATCTACAGAACAGGAAATTGGCCACTCTCACTAAAGCACAACTTAGATTGTGATTGGATAGACTAGACATAACCCAAAAAATAATACTTGAATTGAACTTAGATGGGCACCACTTATCTTGACTAGTTTGTGAGTAAGAGGAAAATATAATAGCATTTCATCTCTTCAAAACAAATGCATTTGAGAGAGAGAGAGAGAAATGAACATGAAAATTTCGCCTACGGGGGATAAAATAATGAACATAGTGATGGGACAAGATTTCATGTTAAGAAGAAGAAATTAAGGGGTCAGGCTTCTTTGTGTCCAGAGACTTAAATATGACCCATATAACTTAGAATTTGGTTCACTCCAGTCCAATCTACCAACACCAACCTGAATTAATTCTATTTACAATATATCGAATTGATCTCAAATTTTCAATCAGTTTAGTTAGATCAAAATTATTGCAACCGATCCAGTCAATGATCTGCTAGTTAGGATCCAATTTCCTGTCTAATGAACTATGGTTGATAGATGATTATACAGAAATGAAAGGGGATATAGGAGGCTGGGAAAGGAGGTGGGAGATGATGAGGGATTTAAAGTTCTCAATTGCAGACAGAAAAAATGCCATGAGTGGAGGCTAAAAATGTCCCAAAGGAGTAGATCCTCAAAGGTACACATAGATGATGACCAAGGTGTTAGATCAAACTAAGATAAAAATCAAAGAGAGGCTTGATGAGCATTGAGCACTGGGTGAAGGAATCAGAAAAATGTGGAAATAGTGCTCATGAGGCCAGTGTTACCATGGTTTCTAATGCTCTAAATGTTCTTGACACATGCAGGAACATATGGATGATTCGGGAAAGGG